CTTTCCCACCAAATACAACATTCAAATTTCTCTTAGTAATCTGTCTATGGCATTTATAGCATGACTGGATGCCATGGTGCATTCATCAATAATGAGAAGTTGGGCTTTTTTAATAGTTTTAGCAACTTCGCTGTTTATATCGAGTCTAGAAATTAAAGTTTCATTTAATGGAATTGATAATTTATGTATATTGGGAATGAAAGGTCTGTCCACCTAGAGGTAAATTTGTAGCAACTCCTGTAGACTCTGTGGGTAAAACAGTACCACTATGACCTCTAATATAATATATTAAAACTTTATAAAGATATGCCTCCATGCTCAGAGGGCAGGTTCCTCCCTCAAACCTCATCCTCGCTGGAAACAGCTTGGGGAGGGCGCCTCAGGGCCAGTGGGACTGATGGAAGTCGGGGGGTGGCATGGAGGTGGTTCCTGTACTTCTGATCACTTGCACACTGTGTTTTATACCACAGCATGTGGCAGTGGCTGTGAAGGTCGCCACAGCAAACCAGCGCTGACTGCAGGACTGACTTCCAGTTGGTCGAGCCTCAGTTGTGATGGGTCATTACACCCAGGGATTTTATATAAATAGAGTTTTGATCAACCCCTGTGTGTGAGGCCAATTTCTCACCTCTGTTTATATGCTTTCTTCTACATGAATGCCCCCCTCAACCTTCTCCAGCACTATGCTGGGCATTCCCTCCACATGGACCCCTCCTTACCTTGTGTGGGCTCTGGCATGTCCTACCCCATTCCTCACTGTGCTCTGGCTCTGACACTCATTGGAGAGCTTCCTCCCCCTGTGGACTTTCTCCTCCCCCATGGACTTCTCCTCCCCCATGTCAGGTTGCCTCCATGGGCTGGTATCCCTTCACCCCTCAGAGGGCTCTGACCTCTTGTTGTGGGCCACCTCAGTTCCCCTTCTACCAGCACATCCAGTCCTCACTACACTGCCAGAACAAATGTTGACTTTACTCTGCCTTATCCAAACAGTTTAAGATTGGGTTGTTCAGGAAGGGAAAAGAAAGAAAGCTAAAGAGAAAGAGGGAAGGAGGAGAAGAGGGGAAGGCTACACCTTGCTTTTTTAAATTTTTTATTGTTTAAGGTATTACAAATAGTAGTACATATGTCTCCCTTTTCCCCCCATTGACCTTCCCCCGGCTTCCCCTATGCCCCTGGCACTTGCCCTCACTCCCCAACCCCGCCGCGCAGTGTCTTGACTCTGTTGGTTGTGCTTATATGCATGCATACAAGTCCTTTAGTTGATCTCTTACATCCCCCCCAACCCTCCCCTTGCTTTTTAAAGTAAAAGAAAAACAACTGTGAGAGTTGGAATAGAAAATAAGCCTCTCCAACCATTTTTGAAGAGCCCATATGAGATTTAAGGGTACACACATTCACCGGGTTCACACCACTCCTATTTGAGTATCTTACAGTCTTTTTACACCCTCAGGTGTATGTATATTTGAAAACCACTGATCTAGGCATCACAGACTAATAATAGCGTGCAAACACCTAGGAAGAGATTTCCCACCTCAGAATCCTGGCAAACAGGCCCCCAAGCCTTTTAGTTACCACAATTATTTGACCCTAGACCCTAACCTCTACAGTTCTACCCCCCTTCCCTTCGTCTGTCCTCTTTCATCCCACTTCCTGTGAAGAAGCACAGCTCTCTCGATCCACACCTCCTCTGTGCAGGAGAACCTTTCACCAAACACTAACTTGGTCCTTTCTTCAAACTGCCTCCTCCTCCAACTTTGAGACTGACCCCCTCCATAGGCAGGGGCTCCAGACTTACCTCTGCCTCTGCTGTGAGCTGGGTCTCCAATCATCTGTGGTAGGTCTGGTTAGAGACGTTTCTCTTAGGAGCTCAGGGCTGGGAGCTGGAGGTGGTCTGGGTTAGAGGAAGGATGTCCAGAGGTATTGAAAGGGGAGGAACTTCATGAAAATGAGGTACATTCTTTGATGGCCTTTGGACTTGGACTGGGACTGTGTATTTGGCATAGAGGGGAATAAAGCACTACATTTCACAAACCAATGTTACAAGGGCTTTCTATCTCTCTTCTTTAGAGTACAAAACGGATCACCAGTTATGTATCTTGGTAAATTTCATGAACATAAAGAGCATAGAACTAAGAAGATTTTGGCCTATAAATTAATTGTTAACATCATCAAGTCTAAACAAAGAGCATATAACTAGGCAGATTGATTACCTGTAAATTAATGACTAACATCAGCAAATAGATTTGAAACACTGGCACTCACACCAGTTTCCTTGAACATTGTTCCACATCTACTTTCATACGTTTTCTTTCTTCTCAAACCCCATACCTCACGGCTAGTCTTCTCAGCTGCCTCATTTTCATTGACCCAAAGAAGCAATCAAATCTTTATATCTATACTTACTCACTGCAAACAAAGCCCAATTTCATCTGTGTATAATTTCTCCTTTTCTGTGTTAATGGAGAAAATATGTTTTTATCTCCATGTTCTAGGCCTCCCAATCAATTTGTGAACAAATTTTGTATTAAATCCCATTCTCCTGGAGCTCTCCAGAGATATTTCTATTTCCTATATTTTATGCTGACTGATACATTAAAGCCCCAGTTTTCTCATCTGATAAATGGGTTTAATAATACCTACAACATCTAGGAAAGATGGGTCCTTGCTTGGGTCCCACATTTTGGAGGCCTCACATATCATAACTACTTACAAAATGCATTTATTAACAAAAATGAAGACAGCACTGTCACTTGGTAATCTGTTCTCAGTACAAAGTGTCCCCTCAAGTATCCACTCTCATAATTAACACTATTCAGGCTCAGGGAAACATACCTCCATAGTTTTGTCCTATATCCTTAGAACTAAACTATATCTGAATGAAGTAAAAGTTTGTGGTTTATAATGAGGTGGAGTTTTATTGTGGCTGTTTTTTGTGCGACAATTTCAAATACAGTTTGATTTAATACATTGTGTTTTATCCTTACACTGCAGTGCCTAGAAAGTGCAAGGTTATTTCCTGTCCCTGTGCACATGTTCCATATGCAAGTATAGAGATTGCCAGTTACTTACTATAGCAGCTCATCCTTAAAACTTCCATGGAATTTGGTGCAAATTTGGGTCTTTCAATGTTTTGTATGGAACAAAAACTAAGAGGTGGATCAGTTTGCCGTGATCCACCTCTTCATTGGTGGGTCCAGGAGAAGGAACCACCAGGTGGAGGAGCTCCATCACTAGGGAAGCCCCAGGCATTCCTCCTGGCTTACCTCCTGCTCTGGGGAGCTCTCCAATGTTTCTATTTCCTATATTTTATGCTGACTGATACACTGAAGCCCCAGTTTTCTCATCTGATAAATGGGTTTAATAATAATACCTACAACATCTGGGAAAGATGGGTCCTTGTTTGGGTGCCACATTTTGGAGGCCTAACATATCATAACTACTTACAAAATGCATTTATTAACGAAAATGAAGACAGCACTGTCACTTGGTAATCTGTTCTCAGTACAAAGTGTCCCCTCAAGTATCCACTCTCATAATTAACACTATTCAGGCTCAGGGAAACATACCTCCATAGTTTTGTCCTATATCCTTAGAACTAAACTATATGTGAATGCAGTAAAAGTTTGTGGTTTATAATGAGGTGGAGTTTTATTGTGGCTGTTTTTTGTGCGACAATTTCAAATACAGTTTGATTTAATACATTGTGTTTTATCCTTACACTGCAGTACCTAGAAAGTGCAAGGTTATTTCCTGTCCCTATGCACATGTTCTATATGCAAGTGTAGGGATTGCCAGTTACTTACTATAGCAGCTCATCCTTAAAGCTGCCATGGAATTTGGTGCAAATTTGGATCTTTCAATGTTTTGTATGGAACAAAAACTAAGAGGTGGATCAGTTTGCCGTGATCCACCTCTTCATTGGTGGGTCCAGGAGAAGGAACCACCAGATGGAGGAGCTCCATCACTAGGGAAGCCCCAGGCTTTCCTCCTGGCTTACCTCCTGCTCTGGGACAGCTTGGGAATCATAGGGCTGCAGACTTTCTCCAGCTTTTTCTGCTGATGTTCAAATTCTTCCTTCTCTGCAGTCTGATTCTTATGAAACGAGTTGATAATTTCATTACATTTGTTAAGAATGATCTGTTTACCCTCATCATTGAGCTGAACTTGAAGTTTCTCATTTTTAGCAGTTGCTTTTATGTTGATTGCAAATAATTTAAGTGGATTTTTGGAAGATGCCTTGTCCCACTGCTTCTCCTCTTCAGGTTTGTACTTCTCAGCTTCTTGGATCATATGTTCGCTGTCTTCCTTGGCCAAATGGTTCTTGTGGTTAGTGATGATAATCTTATTCTCTTTTCCTGTAGTTTTATCCCCAGCAAAGACTTTGAAGGTGCCATTGGTGTCAATATCAAAAGTGACTTCAACCTGAGGAATATCACAGAGTACAGGTGATAGGTTTATGAGTTCAAACTTGCCAAGTAGATTATTATCCTTGGTTATGGTGCACTTGTCATCCTAAACCTGAATGAGCACACCTGGCTGCTGGTCAGAGTAAATAGTGAAGGTCTGTGTCTGCTTCAGAGCCAATTTATGAGACTGGTAGTTCTTGTTTAGGAAGGCTATTGATTATTAATTCAATTCCTTCTTTTTTTAAATTGTTGATAGTATTACAGATGTCAACTATTTTACCTCCCTTTGCTCCCCTCCACCCAGCCACCGCCCCACCCCAGCTTTCAGCACATTATTGTCTATGTCCATGGGCTATGCATATATACATATATATTTTTGTGTTATCTCTTCCAGTCCTTCTCACCCTTTACCCCTCTGAGATCAGTTCATCTGTTTCATGTATCCATGCTTCTAGTCTTATTTTGTTTGTCCATTTATTTTGGTTCATTAGATTCCATATGTTAGTGAGATCATATGGTATTTACCTTTCTCTGACTGGCTTATTTCACTTAGAATAATAATGATCAGTTCCTTCCATGCTGTCACAAACCTTAAGAATTCCTTTGTTTTTATATCCATGTAGTGTTCCATTGTGTAAATGTCCCACAACTTTTTTATCCACTTATCTACTGATGAACACTTGGGCTGTTTCCAGATCTTGTCTACTGTAAATAAGGCTACTATGAACACAGGGGTACATATATTCTTTCTGATTGGTGTTTGGGATTCTTAGGATATATATCCAGAAGTGGAATCATTGGGTCAAAAGGCAGTCCATTTTTAATTTTTTTGAGGAAACTCCATACTGTTTTTCACAGTGGCTATTCCCGTCTACATTCCCACCAACAGTGCACTAGAGTTCCCTTTTGTTCACCTCATGGCCTACAATTGTTATTTGTTGATTTATTGATAGTAGCCATTTGACAGGTGTGAGGTGATACCTCATTATAGTTTTAATTGAAGCTCAAGGACTGACACTGGCAGTGGGCGATTGAAGTGAAGTGGGTCTATGCACTGTGCCTATTCCTGGAACACTTGTTGCCTTTCCCTTTACCATTCTTACTGGACAACTTCTACTCACTCTTCAGCCATCAGGTGCAATATTACCTCAAAGAAGCTTTTGTTGAGAAAAAGTACCTAAAATACAAAAATAAGGCAAAAACAAATTTCTATGTCTTTTAAATATCATGTGACTAATACATTATCTAATAAATGGAAACGAGCAAAAACAAATTCCATGTCTTTTTAATATCATGCTATTACATTATCTGAAAATAATCTCACTTAGGTAAATAAAACTTTATTATGCCTTTATTTACCTGTAGAAAATTAACTTAGAAGTCTTTATTTAGAGTTGTATTTTTTTTACTGTTTTTGAGCCAATTTTGTTATCTGCTCTTTTTCTCACTTATGAGTTAATTAAAATGATGGCACCTGATTTCTCTGTATTTTTATTAGAATTATGATTTAAAAAATTTTAAAATTGCATTTTGATCTCTTCTCTTTGCCTTTCAATATCTATCTCTCCTTTGAGTTTTTAAGGCATCCTCTGCTTGCTCCATACATTCTATTATAACTGAGTTTAATTCACTCAAAGACTATGCATTGGATTCCTCTTTCGTGCCCCATACAATGATAGGTGTTAGTGATAGCATGGTGAACAAAGCAGACATGGTCTAGCCCTCAAAGGTTTTTATCTTTTGTGTCGCCTTTTCCTCCTACTAGAGTGTACATTCCATAAGTATAGAGTATGTCTTAGCCATTGTATCATTCTCAGTGTTAAGCATTGTGTAAACCCACGAAAGTTGCTCAATAAGTATTTGTTGGATGAATGTGTGGATGATTGTATAATGGTGGAAATATGGCATTCCTAGAAATCAGATGCTAGTGTGTCAGGTGAACTGTTTCCTTGGACTGGTAGTTCTCTAAGGTGATATAGATATCATAGTGGAAAGGCAGGCTGTGACTCAGTCATGAGTAAATGAAGAGGAATGACTGGTTTGTGACAAAACCTTAAAAAACAAGAAGTATTTACATGATTTGCAAAGGAAACAGGGATACTTATCTTTCTCTGACTGGCTTATTTCACTCAGCATGACAAATCTAATGAACCAAATAAACTGGTGATCAAAAATAGACCCAGAGTCATAGAAGCATGAACAGAAGTTAAACCTCAGAAGGAAGGCAGGGGAGGGTGGATGGTAAGAGAACAACCAATGAACTTGTATGCATATATGCATAACCTATGGTTACAGACAGTGAGGCTGTGAGGGCCTGGGGGGGGGG